CTATATACATACACATACACATGGATTGTTGCAGCAATGGTGATGGTGATCTAAAGGGTCATTGGCTTTGGAGAAACCAAATGCGTTGTGCCATTAATGACTTAGTTTTGTTGTATCTTTACATGATCTGAAGGCTTTTTATCCTTTGATGAAATTGTTTTATTGTTTTTTTCTTTTGTTTGCGTCTGTGTTTTGCCACTGACTAAAGAAATGGGACTTTACAAGTTGGAAAGGAGTCTCAAAATTGTGGCATATCAGATTTATATATATGATGTAGTTGTATTGTATCATCACATTCAACTTTCCATAACAAGACCAATCCTATTCGTGTTTGTAAACTAAGAAATATATTTGAAGATCTTTGTCTACATGATGACCCCAATATCATAGTTAGATTGGAATTGTTAATGTTGGTTTAAACTTTGATTCTGTTACAAAAATGAAAAGATTGGTTTTGATTAAATCAAAAAACACTGCCTTGAAGGATATGATAAAAAGAGCACACTAGAAAATGGTTTATTCTCTTGTATAATCATAGTAAGATCAAGAGAGAGCCAATTTTGTAATTTAGTTCTGACATTATTATGTCTCTTCCAAGAAAATTGTACTGAGCGTTTCACTATCGTAATAAAAAATTGAAGATCAATTCTTGCATGTTTTGTCCTTATTATTCAGAAATATGCAAAAAGCAAATCAATATTTTTTGAACAAAGCGGGTTCATTTGAATATTGTTGTTGCTAATATTTCTGCCTTTGACTCAAATTCAAACTAAAATCTTTGTTTATTTTTGGCTCAACATCTACTTTTTATTAATTAACATGTGAAAGACTGTTTTTCCACCATTACAAATTGTTCAGTGCTACTTGGCACTGTAGAGTAAAGCTAAGGGATATAATTTTGAAAAAAAAAGAGAGCCTCCTTTGCTATTCTATCTTTGCCTAATTATTAGAGTTGAAATTGAAATTTTGTTTGATTTTTCTGCAATATTTTTTTATTATTTTCAATTTGTTTGGTATGAATATTTTGATTGGACGACAAAATCAAACAAAATATATTTTGACTGGTGCTTGTCAATTCACATTATTCCCTTTTTAAAAGTATCAGCCTCAATCAAAAGCTATTTTACTTTTTTTTTTTTGATGTCACACATTCATTCATTATTTGTGATGACGTTGCGCCATGTGAGGCCTTTCATGTAGGAGCATCCCTTTTGTTTTACGTGTCTTTTCGTTTGGGCTTGTGCTTCTCTATAGTCAGGACGGTTCTTGATATGTGTAGGAAGAGCAAATGTCAGGGTCCAATATAGATTTGCACGGGATCTCTAGATTTGCTTGACTTTTTTTGTCTTTTCTCTCTTTATAGAGAGTGACTCTTCCCAAACGCCACTAGACCACCGTCTCTAGAAATATATTGTTTCTTTGACTAATATATAACCTCAAACAAAGATGTATAGTGTTTTTCTTTCTTTATATCGTTTTAACTCATGGAACTAGTAACTTATGTCTATGCCCGAACTCCTAGTTAAAAAAAAAAAAAACTAGTAACCTTATATTTAGGGGTGTCAAACTGAGCTAGCTCGCTCGACTCATCTCAGTTCATAATGAGGTAGAGTATTTCC